ATCAAACCTTTTGGTGTACAAGACGATACTCCAACCAGCTGAGCCGCCCAGCCAGGGCCAAACTGTCAATGTCCGTGGGCTTAAACTTTTAATCCAAGAAGAATATTTACATTTTGGAAAATCTTGGATTAAAACTCTTGTAGGTACCATTAATTATAGGCTTTACTGGCATCTCAAACTTCCTGCTTACTTAGGCACCTTTTTGATACACTGGCATAGACTTTACTTTCAAAACAAAATATTTTCCTTTCCCTTCTTCACCAGGGAAAATTTAAGCCAGAAAGAGAAACTTCCACAGGCCAGTGCAGACACATAGCAGTCCGAGAAGTGTCCACAGTGATGTCTGTCTTTATAGGAATAGAATGAGTCAAGAGAGTAGCTGAATTTTGTCTTGCTTCTTTTTTCTTTAATATATATGTGTGTATGTGTGTGTTTATTGATTTTAGAGAGGAAGGGAGAGGAAAGAGAAATAGAAACATCAATGATAAAAAGTCATTGATAAGCTGCCTCCTGCACTAGGGATCAAGCCCACAACTTGGGCATGTGCCCTTGACCAGAATCAAACCTGAGACCCTTCAGTCTGCAAGTCGATGCTCTAGCCACTGAGCCAAACCGGCTAGGGCTGTCTTACTTCTTAATGATATGGCTACATGCAGTTAATTGTATTTTATGTTTTATACCCAGTCTAGTATGCCAAAACATGTCTACTCAAGTATAACAGAGAGAAGAGTCAGTAATAGAATGGTCATGATGTGGTGGTTGAATTGTTGAAATTGATTGTCATTTTTTTCAAGTTATGACCATAGAGAGTGGAACAAAGGGCATTGTTTTGGGTTTTGAGAGCAAAGCACTTCTCTTCACATGGAAACCTTAAAATGGTTTATGTGGAGTATTTAAGCTCGATTGTGTCATGACTTTTCACCAAGATGTAAGCTACAAATCACACCTCCAAGTACCTAGTGAAGTTAACTTGTTCAATGGAATTGCTTACCTCATGGTCCTCAAAGTGTGGTAATCCTTAGCTTCATTTGAAGACTTGTTAGAAATGTGAATTCTTGGACCCTGCCCAGAGCTACTGAGAGAGAAACTTGGGGGTAGACCCAGTCATCCATGTTTTGACAAGACCTCCAGATGATTATGATGTTCTCTCAAGGATGAGAAGCACTGGCTTAGATTATCCATCTGAACATTAACAACAACGACAAACCCCAAACCACGAATGACGGTTTTGGTTTGTGGCCCTAATGGAATCTAGTTCTTTCTGATAGTGATAGACCACGTGGTGTGTGTGCTTCTTGTGGCTTCTTCTGGAATGTTGTGAAAAGCCACGTCTTGTCATCAGTTACATGCTGATGTGGGTCTTCCTATTTTGCCATGGCAGGACTATTCAGATGTGCAAAATAAAGGGACGGTCCTGCCTGCTCTTTGAAATACTAATTTGTTTTTTCAGAAGGTTATTTTTTATCAACTTTGATTTTCAAAGTGACTTGTATGATTTTTCCTTTAGGAATTACCCTGTGAAGTAGAGATAGGAGAAACTGAAACCAATTAGTTACTGACACGCAGCTCCATATATTAAATAGAACAAGGTTACAAAATAAAATGAGGTCTAAGCATTGTAACCCAGTTTGCTTTGCTGAGCCTTGAAAATAACTGATGCTCTTTTATTTTCATTCATGATTATTAAGCTACATTTTCTATCATCATAAGGCTTAGTTCCTCCTTCAGAATCTGCCTCTACTTTTACCTGATATTGATAAAATTATTAATCACTCTAAGCTTCAGTTTCTTCATTTGTGAAATGGGACAATAACTGAATATGCCTAATTGTATAGGATTTTTGTGAATAATAAGTAAGATTAGACATGTAAAGATTAGAGCTAGATAAATGCTAGCTGCTGATATTATTACTATTACTAGTACTATTACTATTACTACCACTTCTACTCCTGTGGTTAGCCATGGATAACCTAGAGATCCATTTGCGAGGGGTCACTAATTTGGGCACCACATCTGTCTGTCATCTCAGCAGGGGAAGATAAGGCTTCTCATTCTCTTCCTATGTTTTTAGTATTGCTGATATCATTCTAGATTACTCTTATATATTTTGTTTTTTCTTTCAGTTAATGAGTAATATTTGAGTGCCTACTGTTGGTCGGACACTAGCCAGCACATTCCTGCCCCTTGGACCCTTACAGCAGAAGGTCTCATTTGTTCAAATGCATGTCTTAATTAGCGTGGTCCTTTGACTGCCATGACCATTACCTCATCCAAGGAAGCACTGCCTACTTTGGAGTGAAACTTGGACTTGACTTCTGATAAACTGCTGAACTATGCAATGTCCTATCTGTGCAGTAGACTATGGGTTTTCCTTAGTCTTAGTTTTTATCATTAAAATAATAGAACATAAGTTATAAGGAGGTTTGAGGATTAAGACAGTATTAATAAAGTGCCTAGAATAAGGTTGGTACTTAGTAGATGCTTAATAAAGGGTGGTTCTGCTTTTCTACCTTTTATCCCTGTAGGCTGCCTAGAGAAACTGACAATAGAGAAGCAAATATAGCTGCCAGTGTTCTTTTGTTTCATAATAGATTCTTTGACCTTTTTTTTTTTTTTTTGAAATCAAGACATCCCCTTCAATGAATCGTTTTAAGTAGATTTTTAAAGCGTGTTATTTAGCATTCATCTGTGATGATCCCCAGCTTCCTGTGGGCAGATGTGGTGAGTTTTGATTAGTAATTCTCACATTGTTTGGTTCATGCCATAAAATAATTTAAACTGCGACTCTTGGAAAAACACAAGCTAAGGCCATCAGAAAGCTAGAATACAAGTATATTTTGGAGCTAGGAAGGGGATATTTAAGATCCCATTAAACTCTTTCCTTTCTCAGATCAGGGAAGAGATTTGGAGGTGAAAGTGCCCAAGTTCACCTGACTCACCGGTGGTGGCATTGAGGCTTCCTCATGTCTGAGCTCACGCATGCAGTGTCTGCTGATGTGCATGTTTCGGTCATCAGCTCATCGTCAGTCAAGAAGAGCTGTCATTTAACAAGCCTTCTATTGTATAGCTGTTTACCTTCTGGGAAGTAGATCCTAGAAAATATATCAGTGGTTATAATATTTGGCCCAATTCACAATCATAAAAGGCAAAATCAAAGAATGAGCTGTGGAAGTCAAAGCACTCTTGATTTGGCCTTTTGGTTGTTGGTAGGAAAACCATCTTGGTGGAGTTATGATTCCTTAAGTTTATTTATTAGTATCTGCTCCTCCACCTGCTGCCTAATTGCAAATATACATTTTAGGTTTGTTTGCTTTTTCATTAGGACTAAAGATTGATAGAAAAGATCAGTTAGAGCAGTGGTTCCCAACCTTTTTTTGCCCACACCCCACCTAAGCATCTCTAAAATCCTGATGCCCCCCCACTCCCGTGACATATAATTCTTTTTCAAAAAGTGAGTTCCTACTCACGTGGAGGAAGCCTGAAAGGCCATTTACTTGGTCTCTAACAAGCTTCCAAAGGACCTGGCATCCATGAAAGAGAAAGATAAAAAAGCAAAGGACAGTTGAAGTGCTGAAGAGATCGCTAAGAAATTGTTTAAAATAATAATAATAATATGAAGTGATATGAAAAAATAGCAAATAAAGTTTCAAAACGTAATAGAGAACTGAAATGCATAAATATGTCACAATATATATTTATATACTGTAGATGAGGCCCCTAAAATCATAGAAATGGAAAAAATTCACTGTTAATAACTCATTCTCGAATTGCGCCCCCCCCCCACCTAAAAATCACATTGCCCATGCCCCATGTCGGGAACCCCTGAGTTAGAGGGTGTAAATTAAGAATGACAACCATTACACCCTCTCTGAGAACACAAAGATTGACAAAATACGTAGCCTTTGAACTCTCGGAATTACCAAAGCATGATAAGAAGTAAAATGTTAGACAAGTAAAGTAGTTTATAATCATTCTAATCGGTCATAAGGTTGGGTTGTGAGGGGCGGGGAGTTCATACGAGGCTAAGGATGGCAAGGGTATGGCATCTTAGTCTGCATCAGCAAACTGCTGCAACTGCTTCCTTCTGAATTCATGGAGCCTAAAAACCCTCAATACATTGTCTGAAGGTCTTTGAGTTCAAAAATAATGTAAGAGACAATATCACTGAAGAGAAGATTAAGGAATCCTGCTTGTCAAATTCCTTTTTCTTTACTGTGCTGGCCGTGGTCTGTGTGTGTGTGTGTGTGTCCTTATGCTTAAGATGCAATGGAAGTGGGTATCACTGCCTCCTTTCAAAGTTTAATTTGAAAATGTTTCCATCTCCAACTTCTCACTTACCAAGCTAAGCATTAATTTCAGTTATCGCTAGTACTTTTCATCCGGAAGAATGTCAGAGCAGTTGGGTGGTTGTGTATTTTAAGATTCCCCTCCAACTCTGGAGTGCATGGTGTGAGGCCAGGATTTAGGCCAGCAGTGTTCTCTGTGCCTCTTCTTCCCTTTCATTCCAGTGGCAGAAAAGCAAGACTACTCTGCCTCTTGGTGGTCTTGCAGACCTTTGATGACTATTTTTAAAGCTTTGCTTGTAAGAAAATTAGAAGTATTCTGAATAGCATGTGTAGAGATGCCACTCCGATCAGTAACTGCTGGAACCAGTTTGGAAAGCTTTGTTTGCCATGGTATTGCGATCTTAAGGGAAGAGAAAGATTACAAATTTTATTTTTACGTTCAATGTCTTTACAACTTTTTATTGTTTCTTCTTTATTAACAAAAAGTAATGTATCTATTGGAATTACTATTAGACATCAAATCACTCTTTGCTGAGCCCAGGGTCCTTAACCTTTGTGTTTTTTATGTTTTGTGTTCAAAATAAAATGTAGCAATAATATACATTGCACAGAGAGGGAATAAAATCGCCACTTTTGATCTGTGTCCCATCCTGTGCAGCTTTTTCATAATTAAATGCTTTTTTAAAAAGTGGTTTGTGGCTGTTTGTGTTACAGGATCGCCCCAGGACATTCGACATGCACTCCCTGGAGAGCTCACTCATTGACATAATGAGAGCTGAAAATGATTCGATGAAAGGTACTTTTTAACAATGTAATTATTTGATTTTAATGTAACTATTTGATTTTAATAGTTTAAAGTTTAAACTATTAAATACTATCTACATAATCTAATCAACATGATGGCAAATATTTGGATTCATATTTTGTATCTGGTCAAGTCCATCAATTTTATGTATGTTGGACTTTTTGTTAAATATTTGATAATCACTGACTGTAGGCCCATTATGACATTAATTAAGAGAACTGCCAGAATACTAATTGCTTAGGGTAGGCAGTTAGCTGAAAAGACGTGGACCGTACCCCTCGTTGTTTTATATCTCAGGCAAAAGCTGCTTAGTGCCTTAAACCTACGTGTCTGACCCCATGACAGTGACGAGACACTAGAAAGAGTGCAAACGTTGGTAGATTTTTTAGCTTAGTTTCAAATTTTTAAAAATGGCCAAGAGTTTCAAAGTTAAAAGGATGTTTTGTCATTCTTGAAATATTTCCTGTGTATTATCTTAAGGAAAAAATGGTGCTATTCCTACTTGTCTCCATGCTGTTTCTAACTGCCTATATTATCCTGAATAAGACATGTAAATTTGAGGAAACCCCAATTTCATCTTTATAGCGAGGGATTTTGAATCACCCTAATAACAAGGACTTTATAATGGGGAGCTTTAAAAATAATATATAAATACTGGGTCCTATCCCAGTTGATGTAGCCAGGGTTGAGAATGACCAGAGTAGATGTTTCTTAAGGGCACTTCCAGCTCTGATTTTGTGAAAACTATTCCTCAAAATAAATTTTTCTGCACAAATACATCTTACTTGAAAGTACTTGTTCTCCCATTTAAATTATTTGTTCATTTGTTCATCTGTTCATTCGTTCATTCATTCATTCATTCAGTGTTAATGAGCCTGCTTTGTGCCAGACACAGCTTGCACTGACTGAGGTCAGAGGTGGCAAGACAGCCTATTGCTTCAAATGGTGACCAGCCTGGCCCAGTTTTTGTCTGTATTTTTTTTTTTTTAATTTGGCTTATCATATTACTGATGCAGTAAAACAAAATACTTTTCAACAAATAAATAATGGTAAATTTTTTAATAAGGAAAGCTTTTTGAAGTCTGGAGAGATGACAAATAATATATATTTTAAAATGCATCCGTCCGATTAGGTATGTTTGGAATAAGATAATTTGCAAGGTCTCCACTGATGTCCTGTGGAACTCTGCTGTTTCTGAGGAAAGAGGATATCATTCAAAACTGGCCACTTCTTAGCACTTTGACTTTCAATAGTCCTTCAGCCTCTTTGACTTTTCTTCTCATGTTCTCATCAGAAAAATGCAGTGTCTCTAAGGTCCTTTTAGACCAGGAAAAACTACCCTCTGAAAAAGTATCCAGAGGAGAAATCTGAGTAATGTCTGTGGATCGTACCAATGTCAGTTCCCTGCTTTTGTACTCAAGTGAGGACATAACCATTAAGCCACAGTGGATGAAGTGTCATGGGACCTCTCTGTTCCACTTTTTGCAACTTGCTGCAAATCTATAATTATTTCAGGATTAAAAATTAAGTTCAGAAAAAGTAGCTAAAGGACGTTTGTTTATTCTTAATGTATTTGATTCCTTCAGCACTTTTTAATTTTTATTATTGTTTATTTATTTATTTATTTATTGGTGGGAAGAGCCTCTTAGATACTAGATACTAGGGATAATACATTTACACTTCATTTTCATGATAAGTGCCTATTCATTTATTACAGAAAGCAGTTTACAAACAGCATCACATATAAGCAGTTTATTTTGATGCTCAAAGAAGTAAGCCTCTAACTAGTATTTAGGTTAGATAAAAGAGTTTGGAGGGCATATGTAATACTGGCAACAATCAATAAATAAAACAAGAGTCTGTGCACATTTTAGTAGTATTAGTGGCTATCAGATAGAAGCAGGACACCTCGAGTTATTTCTTCTCTCTTCTTGTTGAATTTTTGTGTAAAGTTCTGTCTTTATTTTATATTCCCTTTTTAATATCCTCTAACCAATTTTTACCTAAATTAAGTTTCTTTCACTGATTCTGTAGGGGTAATCAAAATTTAAGTCTGATGACAGAAAAAATTAAATTTGATTGGCCTCATCTGGCAGCATAAAGATTTTGGAAAGCTGATCTCTGAGAGGCAGTATGGCAGAATGGAGTCACATAGATCTAGATTGGGATGGCCAGCCTGCCACCACGGTGTGATGCTGGATTTGTAAAATCCAGCACACTGCCTTATTCATGGCAGACACTCAATAAACAGTAGCAATTATTACTAACCATCCATAAAGCCTGTTATCATGCTTATCAATGAGAAAGCCAGTTCTGATTTAAGCTGAAGGGGACTTAAGTGTATTAAATGAACTTTGTGTATTGTTTCCTTCAAAGAGCAATACAGAATTCACAGAGGAGCTCATGTTCTTAAACCGCCAGGTTATAGTTATGCTTGGCATTTATATCTTTTTTAACCAAGATGACGAACTTGATATCACTGTAGTCTATCACTACCAAATGGAATTTTGCTTGGGGAAATAATTTATTTCTCATCAAGCTCTCTTTATTAATTTAGATACCTATTGGAAAAACTATGTGTGCTTTTCATTGTGGTTCTGCTTGTTTTGTGAGATTTTGTTAAAAATAAAAATAAAAGTTGAATATTGTTAAAAATAACACATTGGTCTTGTAAAATAAAATATAAAACCTGACTATCTATTTTGAAAATAACCTCTCCATGTGCTCTGCTTACTTAGCAACAGAGAAAACAGAAAACAGGCCTTCATTCTATGAGACTAGTAGAAAATGAAATGCCTCTCAGAAAAAATTCACTTGAAAGAATTAATTTGAGAATTAAAAATGGAACTCCCATTTGACCCAGTAATCCCACTTCTAGGACTATATCCCAAGAAACCAGAAACACCAATTGGGAAGGATATATGCATTCCTATGTTCATAGCAGCACAATTCACCATAGCTAAGATTTGGAAACAGCCTAAGTGTCCATCAGCAGATGAGTGGATTAGAAAACTGTGGTACTTCTACACAATGGAGTACTCCACTGCTGTAAACAAGAAAGAACTCTACCATTTGCAACAGCAGGGATGGACCTGGAGAGCATTATGCTAAGCGAAATAAGTCAGTTGGAGAAAGATAAATATCACATGATCTCACTCATTTGTAGAATATAATGAACAACATAAACTGATGAACAAAAATAGATCCAGAGATAGAGAAGCATCAGACTGTCAAACCTCAGAAGGAAGGCAGGGGAGGGTGGGGATAAGGGGGAGAGATCAACCAAAGGACCTGTATGCATGCATATAAGCCTAACCAATGGACACAGACACCAAGGGGGTGAGGGGTTGAGAGGGGGGGGGTGGGGGGGGGGGGTTGGGAAGAAAAGGACACATATGCAATACCTTAGTCAATAAAGAAAAATTTTTAAAGATAAAAAAAGAATTTAATTTGAGAATTGTTTTTTAAAAGACTCCATATGGAGATAAATTTTATATTTGGTTTTATTTTTTATTTTAAAAATAATTCATAAAATATATTACAGTTGACCTCATTTATTTTTATCTTTCAATTGTGGTTCCTCATAGAAGTGCGATTTGTATTTAATGTTTAAATAATACAGCTTTTATTTGGCACAAGAACTACAAGTAGAATGAATCGGTATGGCTCTCTTAAATTAAGAGCAAACACAAACGTGCCTTTTCTTTTTGGGGAAAAAAATCTCCTTTAATGGAGTGGGGTTTAAAATTTTTATTTTTGTCATCAACAGATGGCAAAATGTTTAATATACCTAGGAACCTTCAAATATCATTTTTGAGTTTCTTTATGAATGCCTTACTGATTGCAACTGGCTTGTTGAAAACCTTTTATCTTTATTAACATTTTAACACATGTGCAAAAGGAGTACCTAGCCTTCATTTCATAGTTCCTACTGGCTTTTACGGTTTATTTAAAAATAGCCTTTCTAAGAACGGTGGCTCCTATCGTCCTCTCCATGTACAGAGGTTTGGCCCTGGGAGGAAAAGGGTCCTCCCTCTGCCTTATCTCCGTGTCCTTGCTCTGATCGGCGGGCATGCCTGCGTGTTATTTTTATCTCGCAATTATGGATTGCCTCCCCCTTAGCCAGTGGCCATCTGCAGGCGCTCCTCCCCAGGGGCGACTGCATTTTCTTCCCTGCACACCCGGTCTCACCAGCGAGGAGGCCGAGCCGCAGACCGGCCTGCGTGGTGGGCTCCCCGCGGGCAGCCTGTGCAGTCTCCATAGTGTTAGGCCGCCCGAGTGCTCTCTCTAGCTGGACAGAAGGCCGTTCCACTGCGGTGGATGTTCGGATGCTTATTTGCGGAATATTGCATCTTGCTGTTATTTGTGTGTTTTTCTCTCGCCTGTGAAATTGGTCCTTATTGTTTAGAAATGGAGCAGCGCGAAGGAGATTAAAACCACATGTGAGCACATCTGTTTTCAGCCTCCTGAAAAATAGGCTGGACAGTGAAATAAAGATTCATGAAGCTGTATTACATTCAGCGCGTAGTAGGGGAGGCCTCTGCAACCAAGGGGCCTTTTTTTTTTTTTTTTAATCTTTCCTGGGTGTGAGGGAATAAAGGAATACAGATATCACCAAAGAGAGTAGTTTGCGGACTGGAAGCAGAGGGGACAGCACTTGGAATCAAGGGACAAAAAAATAGCACCTGACAATTATCAGATGTCAGACGGAGTAAAACCATCCACACTTTCATAGTAATGGCCGTGTGTTTAATATCCTATATATGAAAACAGCTTCATATCCAGTTTGTTTCATTTCACTGGGATCCAAATGAGACAGGGAAATGATTGGGAGAACAAAGGCAATCTATACGTTGTCAAAACCCTATAGTTGTGCTTCAGATATTAACTAAATTATGAGTCAGGGTATCATCTTATTTGCCCTCAGCATGTTGTGAGATTGGGGTCTTTTTCTTTTTATAATGTTTCAGAATATATCTTGTTTTCAATAA